TCCCTGTCCTATAGTGGGCAGGGGCGTCCCATGGGACTGGTGAAAAACCTGACGCAAAGTACCCATGTAGCAAGTTGGCTTTTTCCTGGGTGTCAGTTGCCAGTTGTCCCATCTGGCTTAGCACGGGTCCAATGTTGCCCTTGCTTTTCCTCTGGCTCCCACTTATCTAAAAAAGGGCTTTTTATTGTCATTGGTATTTGTAGTTAGCTGGAGTTCAGTCACAGCCTTGGCTTTCCTTGTTCGCTCCCTGCAGAGTATTCCTCCTTGGAGGTGGATTCAGTCCTCCATCCTTTGTAGGTCTTTCTTTTAAGACGCAAGAGGTCCGTTAGTTCCCTGGAGAGCCAAGGGGGCTGCTGTGCCCTTTTGCTGCCTGAAGACGGACCCCCCACAGCAGGAGAGGGTCCCTGGTGCCCCAAAGCACCAGCAGGGAGGGGGCACAGCGCTCAAGCTGCCGTTAGACTGCCCCCCTCCCCCCCACCAGGGAATGAATCCTGGCTGACTCTTTGCAGCTAGCTGACAAGTGGAGTGGGGGCAGGTGAGGTGGGGATCAGGCTGGTTGGCTTCCAACAGCAGGCTACAGCACCTCCTGTCTCCTGGCCTCTGCCAGTGCATGGAGGTACTCAGTTCCCACAATCCCCACCATCAAACACCCAATATCTGTTAGCTTTGATGATGCTGTAACTTTAAGCGCTTTATGTAAAGCACAAAAAGTTACAGCGTGATAAATTCCAACAGTGCAGTTGGTCTAATAAAAGATATCACCCCCGAAAAATCCTTGCCTCACATAATTTGTGGACACTATGGCTACAACATCACTCTACCATAGATGCTTCTAAGAATTTCCCATTATCCTTGCATCTTCTGACATTATGTGTCTCTGGTTGAAAAATATGGGATCCAAGTGGTTGCTCATAGTGCTCAGAGCAGCAGTCACTTAGAAGCAACCATTTGTTCCTCTTGACAAAGTCACAATTTCCAATCTGATTCTTGCTCTGTGGTTTTGGGCAAGTCACTTAACCTCTCTCCCCAGCGTTCACAATGTACACATGGGGAAAAGATACTTATTCTTCTCCCACCAAGAAAGGATGAACTAATATTTATGCAGCAGTTTTTGGAAACTATAAGCCATTCTGTAAGTATGTCAATCATTGTGTTACAAGTGGCATCCCTGTTGGTGGTAACTGCTGAGCCACCAAGGAATAACAGGGTTTGATTGAGACTGAACTGCTGTTTCACTGTTCACAGTGGTCTTGCCACATACAAAGAATTTTGTCTGTGCTGTTCCTGTTGAGGTTCACTGTTTTCAGAAGGTGCCAGTTTCTAACAACCAAAGACTTCCTAATCACTGAATCAACGAGTGGTTTTGATTTCTAAAAACTGAGACCTAAAACCACAAAATCAAGCCTATCAGAACTAGGCTTTAGCTGTATATGATGCAATTGCATTATGCATAATGCAGCTGTACACAGTTGCGCTAACTTCTACTGAAATCTCACTAAAGAGAAATTGGATTGAGCTGCACCTGAGCGGTCATAAAAATCACTAAAGCTAAATAGGAAAATAGACAGACATACATATATGAGCTGGCTGTTCCAAGCTGATAAGTATGAAAATGTAAGCATACAAATATGTTCTGTAATTTTCCCCATTTATTTAAATTAAAATACTTTAAACGGGTTCTCCTGTCTACCCAGAAATGTGGGGTCAAAAGAGTTAAAGGTCCATCAGAGTCTAATTGGCCCACTGGGCTGAAATATGTAGGACAGGTTGGTTTCTTCAGCAGTGACTCTATAGCTCCTTTCCAGAGTGCCAGTGAATACCACACAATGTTAATACTGTTAGGTGTGCAAACATAATTCACAATGTAAACCCAGACATTCGAAACAGGAATCCATAGTGGTAAAAACATTCTGACCCACTGTGGTCTTTCTGAGTTCTCTGCAACAGAAAAACTGTTCAATTATTTTTCCATAGTTAAAAAACAAATGAAAACTAAGGGCTCCTATAGAGGTGTGTGGTGTCTGCTCTGACGCAATGGAAATTCAGTGTGTTGGAGCAGATCTGATTAATCGATTAATTGAGTCTGCTGCGCTCCGGCAGCCTTCTGCGTCATGTGTATCAGAGTCCCCATATCTCCATGCTGAAAAAATGGTGGCAGGGAGCGTTGAAATAAATCATGTTGAGCTTTAGTTCAAAGCACCCCGCCACCATTTTTTCAGTGGGGGATGTGTGGGGACACTGATACATGTGACACGCAGGCACTTTTTAATTAGTGCAGCTTCCTAACTGAAGTGCCCAGTGCCGCCTCCCACAGTACATGTAAAAATGCCCTAAGATCCACCATTTTCTGAGGGATTCCTCAAGTCTGACGAGGGGTGTTGAGAACCACTATTCTACAGTCAACAGCACACAGGGGAGTGAAGTGGCCAGCTTCGCACCTGGCAACCTTTGACTCCCTTTGACTCCCCAGACTGGGTTTCTAGCTAGGTTGGCTGGAGTTATCCTTTGGTGCAATATAGAGCAAAACTTAAACTCATGCCTCTGGAACACTATCAAGACACACCGTAACAGCTTTACCACCATCACTGGAAATCCCTCGCAGTCGAGGATGATTGTCTCATCTGCAGGCCCAAAGATGGCTGATGAGGCCGATCTGGGATCAACAGACTGCAGCAACTTGGGCACATGTTTCTGTGCAGGGTCGGTGACTGTGGATTCCTGATTTCAGTCCACATCACACTGTTTCTGCTGCTCCCACTTCTCCATCTCCTGTTGTTGTCATAAGGTTTCAAAGTACTGAGATCCTTGCAGCAGACTCTTTCTCCATTTGGGGTGGTCCTGGGCAAAAGTCTCCCACCAGCTGATGTCAATGCTACATTTTTTCAAGTTGGCCTTACAGACATCTTTGACGTGTTTTCTCTTCCCTCCTTTTAAGCATATACCTTGACTGAGCTGGGAGAATAAAACTTGCTTTGGGAATATGGAGTCAGATATCCAGATAACGTGACTGGCCCAGTAAAGTTGATGTTGGATGATCATTGCCTTGATGAGGAAATCTCAGATGACCTTAGGGATGCCATGATCGTGGCAATCTTCAAGAAAGGAGATAGGTCCAACTGTGGAAATTACAGTGGGATCACCCTTGTGGCTTAAAGGAAAGAGGAGCAATAGACACTGAATTCTCTTCCTCCTCCCCTGCAATTTCCCTTTTTTCATATTTCTAAATTTGAGAAGTGTCAAACAGCTTTTGGACACATCTACCCTGTGGCAGCAGTGTGTCCCAACAGAGATACTCTCAAGTACCTCTCACCTAGCCATTTCCCCTTTGATGCTCCGAACTGGAAGTGCGTTGGTGAGGTCACTCTGGGATGTCCCTGCCAGGATCTGCCCCTGTTGCTGTGCAGAAATACCCTTTCAGATGAGAAAATGATAGGCTTCTTTCTAAATGCTCTACACACACCCAGACCAACTACATTAGAGGGAGAAGTTTCAAAACAGCCTCGAAATTAATCCCAAATAATGCTCGCTCCCTTCAACCTGAAGACAGCTCTGCAAGGTACAAGGTATAGTTTCTCCTGTATACATTATGTTTAATAAACACAGATTTCATAGACATTAGGGCTGGAAGGGACCTCACAAGATCATCGGGTCCAGCCCCCTGCCCAAAGGGCAGGAAGTCAGCTGGGGTCAGATGATGCAAAGTAAGAGTTCAGGCATTTCTTGAACATCCATGCTACAAGAAAGTTAGGGTTGTACAAACAACCATATGCATGTGTAAGTATTTGGCCCCCTCGTGTACGTGCTTTATGATGCAGTCTTTATTTAGATAACTGCGAGCTAATTTTTGCTAGAGGTAACTTGCTTCACTCAGTGCTGCTCTTTCCCCCTCCGGTTTGGCAACTCTTCTTTTTCTCTTCTAAACAAACTGTTCCCTCTTCCTCCTCCCCACTGCCTGGGTGGCAGCTGGGGGGTCATTGACAGCAGTGGCGAGTGGTCCAAGCATAAGAACCGTGAGAAAGAGGCTGCTACAGGTGGCAGCTGGGTAGATCACTTGTGAGGAACAGCCTGCTCAGCCTGGGTCACCCTGGACTGGGACTTGCTTGAGACTGGCTGTTTGATTGGCACGCTGAAGCTGGGAGGAGGCGGCGCACACTTGGCGTGGACTGAATCTTTGCAGAATTTAGGAGCCAGCTTGACAAGAGTCTACTAAGCACGTATGAAGTGAGATTTCTTAGAGGTTCGCAGCTTGGTCGCATGATCCAATTTTCACAGGGACGACAAAGTCACATTCCCGACACCCGACCAGGGCCGGATTAACGCACAGGCAAACTAGGCACATGCCTAGGGCCCTGAGCTGGGCACGGGGTGGGGAAACCTTCCTTCCGCAGCCGTGGCACAAATGGCCTCATCTGCTCAGCAATATTTGTACAGGGAGGGAGGATAAGTCAGAGCTGCCTGTCCTTCCCCCCAGCCCCATTACCCCAGGCCTGCAAGGAATTTAAGGGTACGGTGAGGAATGGCTGGAGCTGTGCTCACATCTCTTGCTCGGGGCTGGGGGGAGATGTAGGGAGTCCTCCAGGCCTGGGAGGAGAGGAACTCGGGGGGCTGCAAGCCGAGCCTGTGGCGGGGATGGGGTTGGGGAAGCGCCTTGCTGGCCTGGGCGGGGAGCCCAGCCTCAGTGAGAGGCGGGAGGCGAAGCTGGACCCCGCCGCCACAGCTCCCCCAAGCGGGCAGTGAGGCCACTCCCGGGGGCTGGAGCCGGCCACGCTGTCACGGCGGGGGGAGGTGGGCAGAGGCGAGAGGAGGAGCGGAGCCAGCCCAGGCACAGGCGGGGGGCGTGGCTGG